GATTTCAATGGAAATGAGAACCTAAGCATGTATTTACACAACTAAGAACAAACCTTTGTCTTCATGCCAAACAGGTGGTGTGTGTGTGTGTGTGTGTGTGTGTGTACATATGTGCCTGCCTGCCTGCCTGCCAACAACTAGGTGTGGAGTGAAAAAGATGAGAGCATAGCAGATGTTCTGATAGCTCAGTCATTTAAAACATGAACAAAACTGGCAGCATGGCAGCTTTCAGTTCACATCCGATAGTCGGGGTTACAAGACCTAAATTACATGTTGTCTACATAGCTAGCGTGAATGATCAGAAAGAGTTCTGCAATAATATTCTGGCTTTTGTTTCTGTTTTCGTACCGCGGGTTAGCTGCAATAATGAGATGCTAAACTACATTATTGTGTGCCCCCTAAGAACCCTGTATCCGTAATTCTGGATTTCTTCATTGTAATTGGGTGCTGAGATTGTCTCTCCCATATGAGGAAATTGTTTTACAGCCCTGAAGCCAGGTCAGTGCACTTCATTGTAAAATATGAAAACAATGCAGGAGCAGTAATGGAAAAGCAATTTCTTTGTGAGTTTGTTAAAGCTGATGCTTACATGATATGAGGTTTGGGATTGACATGGAATCATACTTTCTTTGTCTCTACTTCTGAACAATAAATAAGCTAGTCTTAATGCAAAACAACATGCTGCATACACACAAACATGTAATACCTTTTGTAAACTGTAAGTTGTCAAGTTGACTAATTTGCAACGCTGAATATGGATGTTAATTATATGATATATAAATAATTTCATGATGTTACACATTTTAAACGGGTCCAGGTTTGTTATTTATGACAACATAGGGTCTGAAACCAACAACTGAATAATAGAAAAGCCACTCTGATTGCGGCATCCACTGCAGGCTGGCCAGTGTATGCAATGTTGTGAGTTCACATGCGAACATGCGATTGCCTTACAGTGCTAATATCTCCTTTTATTTATTCATCAATTCATTAATTCATTCCTTTGCTTCCTGAGCAGTGCTGAGACAGACGGGGAAGCGGCTTGACTGCTAAAAATAAAGGAACTCGTACAATTCAGTATTGTAAAGGGTCGCTTTAATGTGGGGCTACCTCACCTCTAAATATCATGCTTGGTGAGAACAAAATCGGGGCTTGCACTGTTTTGAATGCTGTCTGTTTAGAGAAAGTGTTAGCTGGAGGAAGGAAGACAACCTCTTATGATTATAATCTGAATGGAGATAGAAAGGTGCCTTTTCCTGTGTGACTTTATAGTTTCCTTCCTATCTTTAGCCCTGTGTGTATATCTATGTGTGTCTGAAATTATAGTAGAGGTCCACTAGAGTTGAATGTGTGAGCACTTTTGTGTGCTTGTGACTTATATGTAAACAGCTGTGTTCAGTGGACTGAAGCTGATGCACTCTGTTGAATATTTTATCTCCCGTTACAAGTCAACACTTTCATGCACACACAGAAAAACACACACAAGAGAGAAGAGAAACAAAGCATATCTTGACTTCAGGCAGATGTGCTTTTCTGTGTTATTGCTTTCATTTATGGCACTAGCAAAATGATTGTGATTGCGTGACTGGTGAGATCATGTGTTTTCCAGTGTTATTATCCCAACGTCACTTAGCGTGGCGACAATTAAAAACCAGATAAAGTGAAATTCAACAAAATGAACTTGGTCCAAGCTACTAAGATGTAGAATTATCTTAGTGTGTGATTGCGTGTGGTATTTAGGATGGTAGCAGGAGCAGTTGCTGTGGTGATCATGTAAAGTGGGAATGGACCGTTATTGTGTCTACTGCGTAGATTACATCCAGAGGGCAAACATCTGGCATGCAGACACAAAGCCAGAGCAGCAGACAATCACTGAAACTGCACTAGCCAAGAGGTAGATCTGTACTGTGATCATGGAGATGATGGCTGCAGATATGATGTGCATGATGTCATTAGGCGCAATAACAAGCAGTGCGTATGGACAGGATAAAACACTGCTGGTGCAATCGCATAGGTTGCAGTCAGCATGATTGGACATATTAAGTCACATTTATCTCCATTAGAAAGAAACACTTTGCTGCCATTTATGATATACAACTCGTGCAAGCTAGATAATCAGTCCAGTACAACGCCCTATTTGTTTTGTAAAGGTTTGACTGTACTTTGTTGTGCCTGTGGGTTTTTATATTAGCGCATGCATTTTTTACTGCTTTCTGACAGTCTTCTGAAAACGAAATGAAAAAAACTTCTAAACATGCCACCTCTTACGTCCTTTATTAAGAATAATGGATGGTAATGGTAATAATGGTAGGAGTTAAATTAGAGTTAAGCTAAGAAGTAAACAGGCTACAAATGTGTATAATAAAGTAGGCCTGTAAGACCATAATTCACACTCAGCCATAATGGATGAAATGTGTTGCTAAAAGTTTCACTACATTTTCAGCTTTTCCTCTGAGTGCGTTATGTTCTCTATTACATGTAATAATAGATAATCCTCCATGTTCTCCGAATGGTAATCACAGTACTCACTTGTCCTACAAAGTAAAATCTTTCCCTGAGGTAAACTGTTGATGTAAGTGCTTTTCTTGATGTTATGCCTGCATTGTATTTTTAATATAGTCATAGTAACCTGTTAAAACTTGTGTTAACAGTAGAGGATGTCCCATCTCTTCCCATTCTCGCCAACCTCTTGGCTACTCCTGACACATCTAGGATGCATTATTCCCTTTGGGCTCTCGCTCTCTCTCTCTTTCTCTCTCTTTCTCTTTGTTTCTCTCTCCCACACATACACAGTGTTCAGAAATACAAAATTCTAGCAGCAGCCATCAGTTGAAGCCAACAGCCCACGTCATGTCCACTGGGAACTGGTACGTGCCATTTCCTGTTCTTGTCTTCACCTCTTACATGTTACAACCTGACTAAAGCAGTAAGATCTGATGGCATGAGAGGAGAGGAGAGGAGAGGAGAGGAGAGGAGAGGAGAGGCAGAGGAGAGGAGAGGAGAGGAGAGGAGAGGAGAGGAGAGGAGAGGAGAGGAGAGGAGAGGAGAGGAGATTGGCCATGGGTAGGATACACATAAGCCTTGTTTCCATCCAATTGTCATGTGAATTTTAAATGTCACAAAAAAGAAAACAAAAAGAAATTGCGAAATAAGTACGTTTCCATCAGCTGGTTTGGAGCAAATAAACCAGGCTACGGCAAGCATAGTTACGTCAGTAGCTGACGTTACACATGGCTGTAATAAAGACATATTGATTCCAATCCAGAAACAAAACTAGTCGCATTAACCTGATGGCCATTGATCTTAGAAAAATGGAGAGAGGTCCTCAGGAATGTGATTCAAGCGTTAAAGTTGCTACCAGCCATGTCTCATATGGGAATATCCAGTGTTATGCCAAGTTTTGCATGCACCTCAAAATAATGCTTTTAAACGCTATAATATCATTTATGGGGTTCATCAATGGTGATAAATGTATGAACGTTTTATTACACTCAGCAGAAGTAGCATTCATTGAGATTCAGCAAAAAATATGTGGTGCTAACCCCGTTTGATCAGGGTGCAGAGCAAAGTATCTGAAAAGGACCTTTAAGAGGTGAATGCATAATTTGGCAGAACAGATGATGAAGGCTACCTGCCGAGATTTGCATCCACCTCTTTTCTCAGCACAAATGAGCGTTACCAGCCGCGAGGTGCATGAAATTCTCGGCAGGCATGCAGAACTCTGCACAACCGTGTAAACGACGACAGCAGAGACCAGTTCACTATGTCAGAACTTATTCGGAAAAAGTGTTTCTATCTCCCATTTAGCGCATTTACTTACTTTCGACAATTTTCTAATGCGATACTTCAAAATGCGCATTAAAAAACGTTGATGGAAACGCGGCTATAGTTACTGTTGTTAGGTGTGTCATTACTGAGAACGTATCTGGGCTCTGAGTTCTACATAACATCGGACAGGGCATTAAGAAAAATATCACAACTTCAGAGACAAAGTCTATATTGCTGTCGAATTTATGCCACACATCATTATTGCTCAAGTTCAAGAATAAATGTAGGGAGATTTGTACAATGGCATGCTTTCTTACTGAAGTTATTGTACAGCTGAGAATAATTTTCTTCCCACAGCTAACAAGCTCCATACAACAGTAATATATTGTAATAAATTGTACTCACACAGGCTCAATAAAGAAACATATAGACAAATAGTCTGCATGCATCCTCTTTACGCTAAATCACCACTCTTTCAAACAACAGTTGACCATGTACTGCACCTAATCCTTCACTACACACTGGCTACTTATAATAGGCTGTGAACACAATACAGTCCAACCACACAGCTGGCCACTATTAGTAAAAGTCCCATGACCTAGACATGTTAATCCCTGTCCAGACATGCAGCAATACCTCCTATAGAGCAAGATGATTAAAGTCAGCCACTATGGGGAATGCACATAAGTAAGTATATGCACACACGCAGTCAAGTACACACATATACATATACATATACTCGACATACAGAAACAGGGATACACAAAGCCACAAATACAAAATAAAGCACACACACATTCTAAATGGACCTAAACACACATTCAACCATGCACACAAATACACACTAATTACAGATGTCAGAGAGATTAATGGTGTGATTTACACAGCACAATTCTAACACTAATGTGTTGCTTATAATTATGTTTATGGATCATGTAATATACATATATGCTGAAGTATCATTAATTATGATGATATATGTATTTTGTTTCTCACAGCTTTACAGTACTTTTTCAAGGCTGTGTGGTTTATGTTTGTGTCATGAACAAAGGAGTGCACTAATGCCGTGAATTAGTGTGTTTATGTCTTTATCTGAGTGCGTTTGTATGCGTCTGAGAGTTTATCTGTCTATATGACAGTGTGGGGATGTGTGTGTGTTGCATGTGCACTTTTCTTTCTGGAAGGTGTGCGTAGCCCTCTGTTATCTTACATATGCACGTGTGGGTTCTTACCAGGCAGGTCACAGCCGAGGACCTCCATCCTCATGCCGATCCCAGCGGGCGACCACCTCTCCGGAAAGACTCTGATGTACTGGGCCACTATCTCATCAAACCTCCGCACCTCTGGAGTATCGTAGTGGCCATTCCCCTCGAAAATCTAAGAGGAGGGAGGCAAAGCCATGTTGACCGTGTTGGTATTTGTCTTGAGAGAGTTATTAGAGAGTTCTTTCTTTTCATTTTACAGCAAGGGATATTTAAGGTTAGAACATTTCCCCTCCAGTGTGAACATTTTGTTTTCCTGCAAATTTTGACATTGGTAAGTTCAGTTTGTGCACACAACAGGAAAATATGGTCAAGCTCTGTAGCCCGCTCCACTGATGACAGCTGCTTTCTTTGACTGAAGCTCAGCACGGTAAGATCCTGCTGTGTTTGCCCAGTGCTGACTTAAAGGGAAAATAAGTATCATTGCATTGAGTTTGTCTTATTTGTCTTAAAGCCAAAGCTGCCTGAGACGTGTCTAAGATACAAAATGATGAGGGATAAGCTTTTCTCCATGTTTGCTTGATATATGTGGCATCTGTCAGAGTGGGTGTGCTAACACATTGTTCTTTGGTGAAGACATCATTGAGAATGAGTATCCTGAAACAATGGAGAAAGACTTAAACGCTGCAGAGGTAGTTAAATTAGTCATTTCACCACTACACCGTTCATGTCTCAATGAAAAACAATAGCAAAATGGTGAGCATGTCTCTCCAAAGTCATATAACACTTCTAATCAGCATTGTTTCCAAGCACAGTATGACATGTGTCGTAAGAATAACAACAGAGACTCTGTTCCTTTGATTTTCAAGTAATTTTTTGAGGCAGCTTGCAGCAGCCTCTGGCAAAAACACAAAATTTACTATAAGCTCCAATCCTCTCAAAATGTGGGCTGTGAAAGTTGTAGTATTGGTTTCATTAATGGAATTGTATCTTCTGTCTTCCCCATTTATGGAACTTAAAAAAAATGTGTGATGAATTTCCCAGGATGCTCATTTAAAAAGACAGGCAGATGAGAGAGAACAGGATTTTAGCATCAGGAGAAAAGCCAGGCACTCAGTAGTACTATTAAAGCATTTTAAGACAGAGTATCTGAAAGGAGAACAGAGTTTAAAGTGCCCTGTCTCACAGTACGTTAAGACTGCCAGCAGTGTTGAGTGGTGAAGCAGGAAAGACATTTTTAATTAACACCCATGAGAGACAAATAGAGAATGAGTGAACGACAGGATGAGACACAGAGAAAAGCAGAGAAAGAGTACAGAGAACTTAAAGAGAGGCAAAGACAGTAGCAGGGAGAATGAGGAGTGAGGTGATTAAATTGAATTATTATCTGAGCTGAGGCTGTAATAAAATGTTTTTTTTCTCCTGAAAATGACAAGGCTGGGTGAGAGAGAGAGAGAGAGAGAGAGAGAGAGAGGGGGGCAGAAAGGGAAAGGAAGAGAGGGAGACAGAGGGAGAGCAAAGAGGGAGATGAGTTGAAAGACAGCTATAAATAAACTACAAATGAGGGAGAACTGACAGTGACAATCAGAGAGAGGAGAGTACATATGTATGTGTCAGCCAGACAGATATTGTGTGTGTGTGTGTTCCCCTTCTTTTACCTTAGCAAACCCAGTCTTGCTGTCAGTGATGTAAGTCCAGTCTTTGCCGGTCAAGCTGTGGGCCAGTTTGTACTTCCTGACAAACGCTCTGTTCTCAGCACTGGTGCTGCCCTCCAGCCCTCTTGCACCCTGGGTAATAATGCCACGCACCATCTTGGGCACACCAAGGTCCGCCTGCAGCACAGACAAACGTAACTATTATTGTTAGGTCACTCTCTGCACCACAGAAGCCAATCACTTTCCACATCCCCTGACCATTGTGCCAGCTCTGATTCTCCCTACAGCCTACACAATCGATCCACGCTGGTTTTCCATTACAGAACTTTTAACAAGTTGTCAGGCTTAAGAACTAAGTTCTTCTTTGCATTTAGAAAATCAAGCCAGTCTTGTTTTCACACTATTTTGCCATATAGCTTATTCCCAGTTTTTCTAAGTGTTGCAATATCCTCTGATACATCGTTTGTTTCATACAACTGATTCCAGCACCCTTTTCTCTGCAAAGGGGCTTCAGTAGTGATTCCAGTGATTTTGTTCAACAGTTGTTGCCATTGCAGATGCTGTAGTAAATTATGGTTATTGTTTCAGGTTTGTTCTATTAGTCTTGTCTTGATGGGAGAATGCATTTTGCGCACAATTTAATTTTAGGAACTTCTCCCCAAATGGAGATAATAATGGAAATAAAAGCAGAACGAGTGACAATGGCTACAGATTACGTTTTGTTCCTGTGGTGGAAAAAGTGCAAAAATATACCGACTATAGATATAATATAAAGAGGCTCCAACTAGCAACATTTACTTTCTGATGCGATAAAATGAAGCCCACCAGTGATCCCTCCAGCTATATCCCCTTTTGTAACGGTTCTGTAGAGCATATACTATAATATAAAACAAGATCACTCATACGGATATGATGACGTACCTGTAGCCACTCTTCTCCAGCTACAGGCTGTGTCGGGTTGGGAAACCAGCCTGACCGACTGGCCACCAGCCTGGCTGACCCCATGGAACCGTGGATGTCTCTCATGGACGACGCAGAAATCTGAGAGTCGGGGATCAGCCCAGACAACATTCCTTGCAGCTCTGAGCAGGGGGCATCTGAACAGGAGACAGAGGCAGGATGGAATAAAAATACTATATCGACTTCTATATATCGCAGTCTAAAAGGTTTTTTCTCTGTTCTCTATTCAGTCTGGCTATGAGGTTGCTGCTTTGCTAAACAGCTTATAATTCGAAAACTGAATATGAATTTAAGGTCAGGAATAACCCTGAATTTATGTGCTGTCAGAATAATGGGAAAAATAAGTTCCTGTCTGGGAAAATTCCCTCGAATGCTCCGTCAAAGTTGGAACAACAACTGGGAAAGTCAGTGATACCTTGACTTCCCAATGTAGGAAATGGCACCATCCGAGGAACAAGTGAATGCAGCATAATTGGGTGTCACCATTTGATCGCATCTTGGAGCAAAACTCCTGTGTGATTGTGACATGATTTTGTTAAAACAACCACTGCTGTGATGCACTCCGCTGCTTTCCATCAACCCATTTCATTATTTTTCCTTCCTGCGGCTGCAAAGTTGATGCATAACTTTAACCAAGATACCAAAGGGGATTCTTCGTGGGGAATTGAGCCAGAAAACTCCCAAATGGAAGCACTAAATGAAAGCATGTTGCAGATCAAAGGGATACTGATTATTACACTGACAAATGTGTTTTAGTCTAACAAGCAGAATATGTTATTTCCACAAATAACGAAAAAAAGCAAAGGGAACAAAACAAAGTGACCATTTCTATTTGAAAAAAATGTATAAAAAAATGTGGGATAAAAGGAGAGATAAAAAAAGAAGATGTGAGGGAGGAAAAGAAAAAGAAGAAGAAAGAGGATAAAAGGTGAGGAAGAGGAGTTAAAGGACAAGAAGGAGATAAAGAGATGGACAAAAGGTCAAACAGAAAGATGGACTGTAGGGAGAGCAAGTGAATAGAAAGGGTGGGAAAGATAAAGAGGGGTGCTAGTGAAAAGCAAGAGAGAGAGCAGATCGACAGTGAAGGGTGACGTTGATTGATGGTGACATTCTTCAGGTCTACATGGAGATGAATGTTTAATGCTGTGACGTTTGCAACCGCGCCTCACTATGGTAAATAAGGAATCAACAATAAACAACAACAGCAAGGACCATGCTAGATGAGCTCCCTCCAGCTCTATGGCAGACGTGAAAACTGATTAGCAAGAAGAAAATTCTATTATTATTTTGTTTATTCTATGTTTCTTATTTTTGCATCTATCTATTAAAGCTGCTGCACTCCAGCAGGCTTTTTTAATACAGGAGTGCAGCGGGAGTGGATCAGAATATCATCTCTGGAGATCACAGTAGCAGAAATAGCTAGATATCGCACACCAGCATGAAAACTCACATTCACACGCACACACACACAAACACACATGCACTAAGCAATACATGCACTAACACATATAATTTGAATAGTCAAGGTCTCTCACACAGGTTGAAACACATTTCCACTCACATACTCTGATGTTTAGCCCACACATGGGTGCACACACACTTCCACTGTGCTTTTCATGATACCAGAGTCGTACAAAGCCGTAAAGTACATCATTGAGGCCGTTGATAGCTGAAACACATCCACACGACTGCAGACACACACGTATAGCTTTGCAAACGCGTACACTACACAAGCCTGGTGAGAAAAACGATAAAGTTGCTAAAAATAAATGATTGATAGATGCTGCAGGGCTAAAATAAAATGAGATTAAGGAAGGAGAGAAGGAAGGATGGAGGAACGAAGAGATGAATGAGGCAGGGACAGGGAAGATTTAAGGGAAGGGATAGGGAGGAGAAAATGAGAGACAACAGGAGAATAAGGGGAAAGGAAGCTGTCAGCAAAGGCAACAGAAGGACAGAGGACAAAGTAGAATGAGAAGGAAGAATAAACAGACAGACACTGAAGAGGGATGGGTAGAAAATGGCAAAAAAGTAGAGAGAGAGAGACATAAAAGTGTGATTTACTTTAATGACATGTCACTGACTGACTGCTTTATAGGCCTGTGTAAGGCATTATCACATTCCCCCTGGCAGTGCGTTCAGGTGTGTGCTTGTCAATATGTCTATGTAAAGGGTAAGAAAAAGGAAGAATACTGCCTTGCTATTAGCAGGTATGTTTGGTTATAAAGTTTTCTCTGCAGGTTACAGACATACCTAACTGAGACTCTATTTACCTCTAAAGTAAAAAAACTACAAAAAACCTCTGTTGTGCTTCTCAACAAAAGCCAAGTCTGAAACTGTCAAGATTTTGCATATAAAGTCAGTGTTTTCCTCAGGCCCGAGATGGATTGCAGACATTACAAGGCAGCAGAGATGGTTGATACAGAGAGAAACAGAAATGGCCAAAAGATGTGTTGAATTGGTTGTCGCTGCTGAGAGTATAGTCAGAAAATTAGGGTGATATATATAATGCAATTTCACTTGTTAAAACAGGGTAAAAAAAATTGGTAGACAAGAACACAGGCAAAGAAAACTTATTTTTGCCACGTCCATGTCTCTTGAGTGCTCTCTCTCTCTTTCTCTCCCTCACTTACACACACACACACACACACACACACACACACACACACACACACACAAAAGCAGTATCATATTGTTTTGGTGTGATTGTGATTTGTGTGGGTGCTGAAATAGCCCGCCTAGATAAGAGCATATCTGTCCCTCTCAATGGCAGCAGAGAGAGGCCCTAACCTAATAATGATACAGTGGTGCTGGGACACACACACACACTCCAATGGATTGAAACTCTCTCTCTTTCTCTCTTACCATTTCCGTAACGCACAGACAGACACACAAACACAGACAGTCTAATTAAGTTTTATCTATTTATAGTATTGAGCTGATTATGCTGGTTGAAATCGTGTTTGTTTGCCAGGGCTGCAGATGAAAGCTGAGAGCCTGTTACTCTCTGATGTTATCACCCACACATCACACACCAGTATTATTCTATTAGGACTGAGTGTGTTTCTTTTAGCGTGTGTGTGTGCGTGCGTGCATGCAGCGTGTGAGTGGGAGACAGAGAGGGAGGATATGTATATGAAAGAGCGAGGGCAAGAGCACGAGTGCACATGAGAGTGGGTGTGTTGTGTGCATGTGAAAGAAAGAGAAACAGATGACAGAGGAAAGTATGAATAGAAGCATTGGATGGATTGATGGAAGGACAAATTAAGGAATTATTTATCATTAGGTCGAATTAATAGAAAAAAAAATAGCCTTTCACATTTCCTTCTTCTGTTCCAGGAAATAATTTTCTAAGGGAGTGATTTTTGGTATGACCCACCTTCTGACCCGATGTAAAAGCCAGTACGTCCCATGAGGAGATGGGCCAGAAAAGGTCTTAGAAACTCTACAGAAGAATCCGCTTCATCTCTCTTACCTGTAATCTGACAGCCGTAAAGCTCGAACCGCAGAGCAATGCCGTTTTTCCACGTCTGAGGTTTGATTCTCACGAAGCGGGCCAGGACTGGCTGAGGGATCCGATTGAGAACCACCTCCGTAGCGTCAGCATTGGCATGGAAAACCTATATGGAGAGGGGAACAGATGGAATTGAATGATATACATCAATGTCTGTAGGGAATTTCTGTCTGTTTTGCTTTGATATATGCATGTGACTGTTTTACTGCAGAAAAAGTTTTCAGTGAAAAAGGTGAGGGAAGTGGAGTAAGCTTATTAATCCTGATATTGTTCCTAGAGAGACATTTTGTTCACGTCCTAAGATTTTAGCCACATTGTCAGTCTGATCATTACTGTCAGTTGGTCTGTCGGTCAGTCAATTAGTTGGTAAACAACTTTTGTCCTGACTGAAATATCTTTGGCTGGATTACCTTGAAATTCTTTACAGACATATCTGCATATCTGTGGGTTTAGGGTAGATCTGGAGTCAGACTGTGTTTAGCCTAGCTTAGCATAAAAACATGAGTCAGGGGGGAAACTAGCATAGTTCTGTCCACAGTTAAAAAACACACCGACCAAAAACTCTAAAACTATTTAAGCTTATTTACACAGTGTGTAATATTTGTTTAACATTGGAATATACAAACATGTAATAATGACAATTTGTAATTTTAGAAGGAGTTACATTGACAACTGTAAGATAACTAAACAGCCAACCATTTAAAAAGTCCAAATCAGTGCACAGGACATTAAACTAGACTATTACACAACAGGTATCTAGAGCAACAATATTTATGGTTTGGACTAGACAGTTTTATTGTTAAACTGACTCAGGACAACATAATTTAACACGAGGGAAAAACAGACTTCTACGTGCACATACACACACACACACACACACACACACACTGAATATATTGTTTCTGTTGACAACAAAAGAAATTAGTGCAAAAGTTTTCCAACACACTTACACAGACAATCTGAGGGAATGCAGTGTGTAATAAATCAAGGGTGTAAGTATGTGGGAGAGCATCCTCTTCTCACGTCCTCTTGACTTAACCACACGCACACACAGGAAAACATAATTGTTAGTCCTCCATGCACAGAGAGCAAAGAAAAACACACTTTGTCGCCCCTCAACGCACAGACACACACTCACAAATGCACTTCAAACACAGCTGTCTCACACACACACACACACACCAAAGAACACAGGGTGTCTTTCCACTGTCTTACAAAGTGCCCTTCCAGCTCCCACACTTCACACACAACGCACACAAATAATTTCCTTCGAAAACACACACAAATACAGATAAAAAAGAAAGTGAATGCAAGCGCACATGGCCGGAAGCAGTCTTTTGACACCATGACTTTATATCTCTGTCTGTCTGACAGAGTGCCATGTCTCTCTCTCTGCCTAGAACTGTCATCTCTGTTGGGCTCACCACATAAAACACAGCTGGGCCTCTGCTCCTCTGCCTATCATTTCACTTTCTATCCTCTGTCTTTCTTTTCGACACATCTTTCTCTGCCTCTCTCTCTCTCTCACTGCCATGATGATATACTGTTGTAAATTTAAGAAAAAAATATCATTAATTAGAGAACCTCAAAGGCTGTTTTCCCTCTGTGTCTCTAACACTCTTTCTATTATGTTACATCAGTACTGAAAACACAACATAGTGTGTTTATCACAGAGAGCAGAAAACCGCATTCACCAGAGCCAAAGGCTTTGCAATTACTTGCTTGGGTACTCATTTATAGATGTTCGCTTTGTTTTAGGAGTCTGTGTGTGTGTGTGTGTGTGTGTGTGTGTGTGTGTGTGTGTGTGTGTGTGTGTGTGTAATCCACTATTTTCCTCCTGTTCCCAATCCATTAAACAGCAGGACCAGTCAGGGGTGACAAAATATGGATGAAAGGGGTTTCTGACTTACATGAACAGTAGCAAGCTACTAGGCCAGCTGGGAATTGAACCCATGACCCACTGGGTGTACGATATAAAGTCAGACCCAGTGAACTCATGCCCTTACAATGGCCTTAATACCAGAGACTGTCACCAGTTAAATGATGGAAAAATGCCTAAAGGCCCCAAAAGACTTAATAGGATTGTGGACTGTAATTACAAGTGTGTGTGAGTGTCAGTGTGTAAAAGTGTAATTATGAAGTCTCACTCTTTGGAGGAGTTGGGGGCTGGCGGGTGTTTTCTGATTTCCCTTGGTGCTCACTGAAACATTTCCTCAGCAAAAGTGTGAGAATGTGTGTGTACGTACAGCCTTTTGTCACTATCCTTGTGGGGACGCGACAGTGACATAATGTATTCGCTATCCACTTACCCTAACACCAACCTAATTCTAACTCTAACCCTAAAACCAAGTCTTAACTCTTAAACAGTCTTAAACTTGTGGGGCCCAGCATTTTTGTCCCCACAAAGCTGTCAGAGCCCATAAAGTGGGTGTTTGGACCCCACAAATATAGTAAAAATAAAAGCCCACACAATTGTATGCATGTGGTTTTATGTGTGTGTATGTAAGTGTGCATACTGCATGAGTCTTGATTCACCAATCTAGTGTCCATTTGTTTCTCTATTACCAGTTTTGTTCAGGGTCACCAAACAGAGCAGCAGCTGTATTTTAGCTTCTACTTGATGCAAACCTTTCACTGTCACAACTGCAGTTTTACAGTCACTTCATTAAACTGAAATCCTTTCGGTAGCAGACTGAAAACATGATAGGAAAATACCAGCAATGATCTCTGTTAGAACTCATCGCCACACATACTGATCTATCTTTAGGACATCCGTCAGGAAATGGTTAAATGTTCTGAATCGATGCTAAGCTGACCCCACTGCCAAAATTTAAATGTGTTTTTCTACATAGTGCAGATTTTACAATGTGTATCAACCCACATTGGAACCCTTGAAGCCTTATGTGCAATGTGTGTCACTTGTTATTTGTTAATGTATATTAAACAGCCATTAGTGAAAGGTAAACTTATCTATACTCAGTTTTCCCTGGTTTTAATGAGACCTATCGTTCTTTTCCACATTTTATGACTTATAATGTTGGATGTTCGTGTTAAACATGGCCAAAGCTTCAAATAATGATGTTGTGAGCAAAAATCTCAGATTTCCTCCTGTTCTGAACGCTGAACGTTTTGAACTGCTTTTTCTACCAACGGCTCTGTTCTACGTGATATGGAGCTAGACGGAGCCGGTGATCCATACATGGTCATGTGCTCCACACAGCAACGGCGCAGCTTCGCTCAGCCAGTCTGTACCGCTCAGCGACAACAGCAGCCTGGTAACATGCTTCCGGTCTTGGCCGATCAGAAGACAGTGGGCTTTGAGAGGGGGGGCCTTAAAGAGACAGGAGCATCTCCAGCTTGTTTCAGACAGAGGCTGAAATGTAGGCCCACATGAAGAGCCAGTATAAGATAGAACTTTTTTTTTGGATCTTTGAATAATGCAAAGCTGCCATACAGGAGTCACAGAACTACAATATAGGACTGGAAAAGCAGTATAATAGGTCTCCTTTAATTTGCATTACATTGCTTGGCGTAGATTAATTTGTACTTTAATAGTAAGTGTTAAACTGTTAAACTGTATAATTATGGACAAATATTTTTTGTGAAAATATATTAAACAAAAGCTCGTCCAGGTTTTGGCTCTGCAGTGAGAATCCACACTGAGGAGGTGTAAGGGGATATGTAGCATCTCTGAGGTCTTACACTCCTAAATTCACAGTTAACGGCCTCTCTCTAAAAGGCTAATCAGCTAATGGACTCCACCCGCAACCCAGCTCAGGTTATTGTGTGTATGTGTGTGTGTGTGAGAGAAAGAGAGAGAGAAGGTGTAAAGTTAAGCATCAGTTCAACCCAGTGTTTGTGGTGTCAATTTGCCTCATCTCTTAACACGGGTGGAAACATCTGACCATTAACAAACCTACACAAAACACACACAGACAGACTCTCTCTCTCTCTCACATACACACACATATAGGCCAAAACAAAAAAGCGGAAATGTTGTTTAACACCAATACTATAAGAACAACTCCAAGCAAGAGAAATCTACCCATTTCAAATTGTATTCAGTGAAGGTCAAAGGGGATAGACATGGAGTGAATACTGTTTTCACCTTCATTTACACACACCTACTCTACTGAATAACAATAGTGTACAGGGCAGAAGGACACATATTGTGTAGCCGCTTCTGGTTTGGAGTCAAAAGGCGACTAACCAGGTCCAATGTGTAACTACAGGACAGAATAGGAGCTTGACGAGAAACATGTTCACCTAGTGGGAAAGAAAATAACAGGTGTGTGTGGGTGTGTGTGTGTGTGTGTGTGTGTGTGTGTGTGTGTCGTGAGCCGGCAGGGCCACAGTCAGTCAGCCAGCAAGGAACAGTGCAGACATGCTGAATTATTCAAATGTCCGTGCTGTGTGTTTTGCGTGTAGGTGTGTGGATAGAGTTATAAAATAGTAAAACACCCCCCATCTCCTCTCATTTCATCACACAAGGACAAATACACACACACACATACACACACACACACACACACCTTTGCACATACACAGACTTCAGGGAGGTAACCTGTCTTTGACAGCTAAGTCATGGAAAGTGTGACAGTACAGTCCACAAATCTCACAAACCAAATGACACAGAGCACCCTTATAATATCCCCCTTTGTCCCTTTCTGCTCTTTTTCTCTCAGCTTTTCTTTCTTCATTTGTCACACACTATTTTCTCCCTCTCTCCTCTGACCTCTCCCTCCCTCCTGATTTCCCTCACCTCGCCTCGCCCCACCCTCCTCCCACTACTCCCTTCTCCTGACATCCTTCCAGGCTGTGTTGCTGAGACCTCTGATCTATCCAGAGGGATTTGTGGTCAACACCCTTGTCTGTTATTCTCATTATTCCTCCTCTCCTCCATGCCTCTGTTCATCTGTCCATCCCTCTTTCTTTTGCTCCGTGGTTCCCCTGTGAACACTTCTTCCCCCCCTTCTGCCTCTTTCCTTCACTCACTTGTTCCCCTATGAACCTCGGTTTTCTCCTTTTGGTTTCCACCTCTCTTCCTCCCTCTGCACAGCTCATTTTCTCCCCTCTCTATCAGTTCAATGCTTGACTGGTTGACCTTGTGTTTTCTTTCTTTCTTTCTTTCTTTCTTTGCTATTTTCAACTCTCCAACACTTTCCTCTCATCACAATCCCACTTCCTCCCTCTCATTCCATCCATGTCTGCTTCCTCCATCGCTCTCCATCCATCCATCCTCCCTCCCACAGATTAAGGTGGGAATTGGAGGTTTTGGTCTTGGCCGAGGTCCAGTGTTGTAATGACCACAGACAGCTCTGCCTGCAGCACTTCAGCAGGGCTACATAATGACAATTGTATCACGTCAATCTTAAATTTACCTCTACCAACAAAAGGTCTCAGACTCCTCCAGATGAAGACTCAAACTGAGACAACATCATTTCTTAACTTGAGACCTCAGGTCACTGAAAAACACTCCCATAAGGCCCACGTCCATTTTGATCACTGAACACTTTTTATCTTCTTTATTGCTTTATTAAGTTCAAATGATCTGACATGACCTGGTCATCAGGAGGGGATTTGAAAAATGGCTTCAGCGCAGTAAAAACAGGAACAGAGGAAATAAACATTTATGGATAATAAGACAGGGAAAGAAAACTTAAAATACAAATTGGTTGGGAATCTCAACTTTTTAATTCCAATAGCAAAGCAGCACAGCATATTGGCTCTGCAAAGATGTTCACCCGGTATTCTTATACTTGACTTATGCTTTGCCCATCTGTTTCTTTCCCCTCTTTCTCTAGTGCATGTCTTGATTCAGTATCTGTCATTTGTGGGCCTGTCAGTAAAATGTAGGAACAAATGATGTATGAATATTACTCACTCCAAAACGTTTCTGCAAGTTAACATGTATTCCATATGTCCCATCTGGTTCACAACGGGCCTTTAATGACATTATCAAATACATTACCGATCGCACAAATCATTGTGATGTTGTGTGACAGTGGTGCCGCCCCTGGGCTGGCTCCCAGATGTTTAAAACCAGAGTGTGTGCGTGTGTCAAATGTGCATAGTGACTGCTTTCTTAAGAGTTACTCATCTGAGACAAACATACAAAAAGAACGAGGCTGTAAACATACATAAATCCGCATGCATGTATTTGTGTGTGTCTTTGTTGTTGTGTGTTAGCATGAGCACAGACTCATACCTTTTTCTCTATCCATGTGGCTCCCATTAATTTTTGTCCTCCTTTAATGCCTCTTGCTCATAAAACACTAATTCAATAATTCTTCCAGATTAACGCACACACACACACCCAGCCACCAAAACCATCACTGTAGCCAAGCACAGAAAGTCATTTGTTCGAGCAGCCGAACCTTGCCTGTCTTATTTCATGATGACTTTCTCAGAAACATGTGTGGGGAGGGAGGGCAAATGATGGAGTGTCGAGAGAGGGAAAAGGGGAGAGATGAAAAAGAGTGCAAGAGGGGAAGGATAAGGTGAACAAAGATGTGCAGAGAGTGAGTGTGAAGACAGGGAGGGGAGATTTGATGGATGAAGAAATTTTAAGAGAATTAGTGAAGGGGTGAGTGAATGAACATGTCAAGAGAGAGATGGATGGATAAATGGACAGTTCAGAGCAGGTTCAACAAGTTAACCAGACAGGAGCTTGTTCACTTCTATATATCCCTTGCGTTAGTCGAACAGCCACTTTATCTTGAAAGAAAGTAATAAATAAATTATTCTATGTGGCTTGTGTGTACATTTAAGTTCAGAAAAAGAAAAATCTGACATGCTTACCACTGATCCTTGTATGAAATGATCCAGGGTCTGCTCTCAATTATATAAAGAAAAACCTTTCCTTGAAATGTCCTTTCAATGCAGACACAGCATTTTCCACACCCAAACTAAAAAGCTCTGCCAAAAGATCTTCTTGGCCATTGCTGTTGAGCTATTTATATAACATTAAACCCACAACCTCATTTACACCACCAAAGTTGCAGGAGACAGTTGGCATGGCAAGGCCGATGCTGACTGGCCGTCTGAGGTATGTCAGCTGAGAAGGGACATTAGGTTCCAAGATGCTGACACACTTGTTTCATCATCAGATAAATGAATAAACAACTCTCCTTGTCTTTTTTCAACTCTCTCTGCTTTAACTTTGCTACCTTTTTCATCTCTCTCTGTCAGGATAGAGAAAGCACCATAACATATAAACCAAATTATAAGCATGTATACAGTATTTTCATATATTTATAGATAATGTGCAGATGGGATGATGATATACTGTAGTGCACCAAATGAAATGCCCGACAACCATGAGCCGAACCACCAGATTACTGAGCAGACTCTCTCACCAGGGGACCAAATGGCTCAAAAGACCCTTACCAGTTGGCAAGAGGTGTGTGTGCGTATTTAAAAGACAAGAGAGGGATATTCTACTAGAAGCTGCTGCTGATTTATCCTAAAGCACACACACACACATTGATTTGCACATACATGTACACACACCCCTCTGTGTCTCCCCTAGGCATTTGACTCTGAAGCAGCTTTTCAGGGTTATGAGGGAATCAAGGGGGATTATGGGTGGTGACACCAGCAAATAACCTCCAAACATCATCATTAATCCATTTTGCACATTGGATTTTTATTGTTTCATTGCCTAGTGTCAGCAGCATATCGCTATTTGACTGACAAAACAACTGAATGGTGAACTGACTGATTAGTTGAGCAATTTCCAGATTGCAGAAGCGTAGGCTTATTTGCACATACTAAGCCAATCAAAGAATTATAATTTTGGTTGACTAAGCTTTATAGCCATAAACCTGATTTAAAAAAACTTGCTTTACTCTCCCTTCCTTGTCCTCCTTCTATCATCCCTCAATTTCTTTCTTTATTTTCTCCCTTTCTGTCTTTTTTCACAACTCAACTGTGGTTTATCCATCAATCACTTTGCTGGGAGTTAGCAGCAGCTATAAGCCTTATGGGATCTGCAGTCCACAGAGGAACCCCAGATGGTTAGACTGAATCTCCTGTTTCCCTCTCACAGCAAAATAAGCATTTTTATATATACATCTGTGAGTGTGTGTGCATGCATTAGTGAAGGAATAAGGGTTTATAGCACAAAGGTAGACGTGGTGTTACACCGCAGGACAAACATATGTGAGCTCTATAGCAGGGGGAGAACGGCTGTGATGGAAAAAGCAGCCACAACCACTGGAATGCTCCTGTACTTTAATTGCAGTTGCAACCATTTTAAAGACCCTCTGTACTGTCTGCTTCATTTCTTCTAATCGGCACCCCCAGACTGCAGCACACTCACTGATGATTCATCATGTTTTAACACCTCTGAGAGAAACAGCTTAGAAAACAGTCCAACCAGGTCAACATTAGGCAGAACTCTGACCAGTAACAGAAACCAGATGGGATGCGAAAAGCAGACTGCACAGTCTAAGTGTAGCTGTGTTCGATGATGTAAGGTATCACTTGGAGCTTGGAGACGTGGGCTGATTCTGGCTTGGTCGTAAACCCTTAAATGTAGCCAACTGAACAGCAGTGGTACGGCTGTAATTGCAGACACCAGTTGAATTTTGGGCTTGTGGTCAGCTCTCGCTGCATATGTTCCGTCTCATATTTTTCTCTGACTCTTCCACGTGAGTGCATGTTGCGGCATGTGTGACACCGAAGAGCATCCAGACTTTCTCTAGTCACCCAGAACTACTTTGCAGTCCATGCATTGGCAGGAAAATGTGGCTTGTGTTTGTGCATGTGCTGAGTGTTTTTGTATTTCGCCTACCTTATGATTCTTGCCATGTCTGTAGACCATCCAGTCCTCTCCATTGGTGCTGACCTCCAGCTTGAAAGTGGTGACATGGTAAGCCTTTTGAGTTTCCTTCGAAATGGCGCCCTGGGTGGCGATGCCTGTAAGCACCTTCAAAGTATGGAGGTCCACCTGTTGGTGGATAAAAATAAAAACATCATAAACAAAGCTGACAACTGATCATTCAGCTGGATGAGTGTTTGGTGTATAAAAAGCTGAAACACAAAGTGACAATACTACTGATGATGGTGATGTTTTGAAAAAAAACTTATCAACAATAAAAACTGCTTACAAAATGAAAAGTAAACACCCACTGAAAGCCCAACCAAGCTCGCTAACCTTTGCTCATCGGAGTCTAATCTTATCCCCGAACCCAAATCATACTCCTGACAAAATGCCCTCATGTTGGAGCTCTTCAAACATTAAACTGGTTAAACACATACACACAAATATACACTTGAACTTATCAGCATCCACTCTCACCTTCACCACTCCCTTTATCCTCTTCTTCTCATCTCCTTCTTTCTCCCTCCCTCTCCTCTCTATGTCTCTCTCTCCTGGCAGATTGATAGTAATGACCTGGGGCTCAGTTTACTTTCCTCCCATACAATAGCCATAATCACCTCCCCATCCTGAATGTGGATGCTACGCTACGTGTCTGGCATGCTGCTAGCTGTGTTGCATTATACATGGACCGTGTACTGTGTGCTGTATGCAGAATTCAGACTCCTTCATTTCAAGGTCCCTAAAGTAGATACACATTTGTTTTGCTCCACAGTGCCCTAAATGAGTAGCTCAAGAAGAACAATAGAGATGTTTTCAGAGAGTCTATCAATTTGCAAGTGATATGAAGAAAGAAGAGATGATATTGTTTGGGAAATATATTTTAACACTGCTCTTGAGGAGCACCTGCCAATGAGAACCACTGTGCTTCAATGGATCAAATGATGATAACAGCAGGTTTGAAAACAGCTCCGATCGAATGTATTAATCCACACAAGAAGTTATAATTAGCTTTGAATTAGTAGAAATAGTAAAATTTATTTTCGACACCACTGAATGAGCTCTGCATTACTGAAAGTTGAAGGAGTTCTTCTGGGGTCTACGATGATTTTGTCGAGGACCATAGAAGTTACATTAACAGTTTCTTCCCAGGAACACAGCACACCTGAGGTACACCTGAGTATTTCGCATTTTTAACATGTTTACATGAATTATGTTCTCTGCTACATCGCGACAGAGATTTTGAGATTCAAACCTCTACTTCATAAAACAAGGTTTTATAGCCCCAAACACAAACACACACAGGTCCCAGTTTGGTCTGGGGAGGCAGAGACCATCTCCACATTTAAAAGTACGCTTAAGGCTTTCCTATTTGACAAACCTTAGGGCTGACTCAGGTCCCAACCCTTAGACTGCAGGGGGACTTTCCCATGGTGCACCTCTCTTCCCCTCTCCCTCTCCATCTGTATGCATTCTTATAACATTAATGCACATTACTAACCCGACTTCTTCCCTCTCCCATAGTCTTGTGCTTTCTTGTCCCTCTACTCTCTCCCCCTATCGCTTTCTGCAGGTGTTTCTGGTTCTGTAGCTGTAGAGTCTGGATCTGTGGTTGCGGGCTTCCTGCTGCCCTCATGTTCCTGCTGGACGCCCACTGCTACAATTATTATTATTATTAGTCCTATTATTATTATTATGAGGTAACCTTTGTTATGAATTGTCACTATATAAATAAAATTTAATATAATACAACTGAATATGCAAGAGAATATAGGCAATGCAGACAAAAAGAGGCTGCAGACAAATAACAAGCAGAAGATGAGAAAGGTTCTACAGTAGGTTGTAACATTTGTTCTCCTCCATTGGAGCTGTTGAAACATGTCGATTAATCACAACTTGTTGTGAGTGTGCGGTGTGTGTGTGTGTCTGTGTGTGCTGTGTGTCACACTGGAGTATAGTACAAAACACCAGGGGAGGTAAAATGCTGTGTTTGTTATCTGTCAGAGAGACAGGTGTTTTAGATTACTTCCAACACACACACTCTCTCTCTCTGTCTCACACACACACACACACGCGCACACAAACACGCACACACGCCTGCACGCTTAGGGCCAGACAGAGATCCGCCAAGACAACTAATCGATAGTCCAGAACCGAGCAGAGGAACAGATGAGAGGAGGAGAGGTGAGGAGTAAGGGAATAAGAGAGAGAGGAAGAGAGAGAGAGAGAGATACTAAGTGAGCCTTCCCAGGGAAGGCTTCCCATCAATCACCCAAGTTGTTAGAATAACAGAGCCACCAGATCCCACATCATCAATCTGCACCACACCTCACTGGACCAGACCAGACCAGATCAGAACAGAACAGAACCAAACTGAATAAAACAGAATAGAACAGAACAACACATACGCTACATTAGAAAATGTGCACTAGAGAGATATTTAAACCACACACATGGCTCTTGAGCCAACACAGCAACACACACATGCCTGAGGTCCATGGGTACACACTTCAACAAACACACACGCAAACACAATCACACACACATGCAGGAACACACATGCACACACTTGGTTATAAGAGACCACGGGGTGCAAGATGCTAGAAGAAGAGGCATGTTGGCATTTATGACAGCTGCTCATCAAGACAGGAGGCTGCACACACACACACACACACACACACACACGCAGGGGCCTTGGTCTCAGCTAGGTGTTAACGCAGGGGAACAGCTGAGAGCCTCTGTGGAACGCAGCGACCCGACCACAACACCAATGACCAGAGAGAGACAGAAAGACAACATGAGAGAAGTAGAAGCTTAATTCCCAGCCAAGCTGTCAAGTCAATTTTATACAACGATCTGATGTGTCACGAACAATAAAATCCGAATCCGGGGTCTTTCCATGGACTGAGGAGATTATGCGGACAATCTGGATGTCAGGGGAACAAAATCAGGAAGAAAAAAAAAAAAGAGAGAGTCCTTTAAGTGATTCTTGTGGAGCAAATTCTTTAATGTCAGCTAATTTTGAGAGTGAGCTGGAGAGAGTGAGCAGTCTGCTTACAGCTGAGGTGAGACAGGAAGGATGTGTAAGACTGATGGGACCTTGGCCTCATGCTGCCTCTTGGCCACAGTCCCTTCCTGTGTTTGCAGGCCCAGAGTTTGGCCACAGTGGAGCTCTCAGAACTTCTGCTTCCAGTTAACATGTGTCTGTGGTTGTGTCATTGTTCCTACAAATGAATAGATGAGGTGCTTGTGTGGTTCTTGTCTCTCTGAGCAATTATTATTTCTTAGAGGGAGCACATCTTGGGCTATCTAATCACAGGCTTCTAAGAGGATGGAATATGTTAGCTGCACAAATCAAGACTAAAACCTGCAAGCTTTTTTGTTCTTTTTTCAAAAAAGCTTATTGGCAATGAGCAAAGCAAAACCTGTGGGCAGTCATTGTAAGGCTACAGGAAGGTGACACCCAACAAGATAATCTGTTGTTTACAGACGGGTCTCACTGAAGAGTGCCTTGTGGGCTGGTTTGAATTCATTTCTGTCTGAGGGGTGAGTGAACCTCACACTTCCCTTCCCCTCTCACCCAGACAGCCTCATAACTCAGGCTCAGCACAGGGATGGCACAAAGTTGGCACTGTGATAGAATATGGGAAACAATGCCTTACCCAGGCATCTAGCTGCTAAACCTTGATATCACTACACCTCCCACTCTCTCTCTCTCTCTCTCTCTCTCTCTCTCTCTCTCTCTCTCGCCTATTCTCTCACTCCCACATACACACACACACACACACACATATACACAAATACATACACACACATTCAATGAGAAATATAGCTGTGGTGGAGTTATTATGTGTGATATGTCAACACAAGAAAAAATATGTTAAAAATAAGAGTGCAATCTTTTAGTTTAGGCAGAGTAAACTTTTTCAAGAATAAGAATCTGTATTTCAGCATAAGGATTCTTGGATTTGTGCCACGTCCTGATAAAAAAATAAAATAAAAAAACTAATAATCAATAAAAGTAATAATATAGGATTATAGGATAATAGGGCTAATAATAATAATTGTAGCAGCTGTGGTGGAGCAAAAGCATGGGATCAAATGGATATTGTATTGCAAGATCAAATATTTAGTTGAAAACAAAACGTTTGTCAGTGAACATTTTACCGATACGTTCTGTACAATTTTGTGACTTGCCAGATCTGTAAATTAGCTAAATTTCCTTAATATGTTAATAGAAAACGCATCCAGACTTCATTACCCTTCCTTCAAAGCGTATTAACTAAATTAGTTGTGTGTCAATGTAATTTCCAGGGGACAGACAAGGTTGGTGTACCTCACCTTTTGAGCGGTAGGTGCATGTTCAGTTCACATTTAACAGAGATTAGTGTCATTTTGAATGACATTTTGAGGAGCCCCTTGAATACTACTTTGTTTGCTCCACAGTTGAGGACAAACTCGTACCTGTATGTACTCCCTGTTGCTGTCTTCGTTGGGTGTCCATCCGTTGTCATTGTAATTAAGCCTGGCCTGACGTGGCAGCCAGTGTCCATCGTAGAAACTGGACGAAGCAGTGATCTGGTCATCCGTGATCTTTCCTGACTCCAGACCAAATGCATTACTACAGTGGAAAGCTACAAGAGGAGGAGGGGAAGAGATTTAGACTCTTTTAGAATATTGTAGCATTTCTAAATGCATTTTAAAATATAAAAAATCTGCGCTAACTTAAACTTACTCTCACTGACTTCCTTGTGGGTCATGTTATATCGAGCTGAGAAGCCATCTTTAGCCACAGCCATGTCAGTGTGGAAAGACAGAGAGAGAATCCCAGTAGATGATTGGATCTCAGGAGGCACCCTGGTCCCGCAGTATCGACCAATCAGAGGGCCAACTGTCAATCAGAGATGAAGAAGTATTGGGTTAGTCAACAGTTACAATTCTGCCAGCAATTTCTATATGTCATCATTTGACACAATGCACTAACTGTGTTGGTTACACAAGATGTTACAAGGATCTCACTCTCACTGTCAAGATGGTTTATTGATTTATCATTCCTATACCAATCCCTTTATACCGTAATCCTCCTCTATTCTTTGCTACGTGTGTTTTTCTTTTTACTTTCTTCCATTATTATTACTCCCTCTTCCACTGTCATCTACTTATCGCTCCACCCTCTCATGTCATCACCTTTCTTTTCTTCATCTATCACCTCTGTCCCTGAACTGTACATGGTTTTATTATGTGTACTGTGTGTACTATATATACATATATGTGTGTTTGTGTGTGTGCGTGTGGATCTAAGTGATTCCTCGACTGTCTCTAATACCACAACTTATATACGTCAACATAAACAGATGAGTGTGATTTAGAGTCCTAGGGTGTGTGTGTGTGTGTGTGGGTGAAAGGATGGGTACACAGATAGTAGATTCATCCTGCTACTCCCTGAGTCCTCTCTCACACTTACAGATACACACCCGAGGAGGCTTGTGGAGGAGGAAGAGGAGGTGGAAGACAAGAAAATAGCCACCAATCAATCAGTGCTATTGATTGTTTTCTTCTCTTTTGGAACGGGTGTATATTTGAAACAGGGCTCTTGAGCAGTTATAACTTTTTTCTTGAGGGTGGTGAGGAAAAAAGGAAAAAAGAGAAGAGAATCTCAAATCCACAGAGATGATTTCTATTAATAAATGACCCATGTTTGCGCACAATTCTGGTCAAACAAATAAAATATTTTTTATATTTGTCGTTCTCCCTCTATGTTTTATGAATTTAATTTCAGTGGCATTTAAAAGAGGCAAATGCATAAACACAAACACACACAAAACACTTCACATTCTAGTTTTCTCTCTCTTTACTTCTTGCACTTTAACCAGTTCAGAATTGAGTTCTCTGATTATCATGTTTCTCTTCTCCCGTTCCTTTGAATAAATAAATTTTTTAAGCCAGCTCTTTCAACCTCTCCTCCCTTCTTCAAACACCTTTCAACTGAAAAGAGACACTCGTGGTCATTCTCTTTCCCTGGCTGTCTTTTTATCTTGTCCTCTCTTCCTGCTTAGGACTCTACACTTTTGCAAAGGGTGAAACTAAGTCCTTCACCTCTGAATCGCATCCTATATATTTCCTTCCCTTTCAACCTCCTCCCACTTCATTTCACTTTGCTTCCTTTTCTTTCATCCTGCTATCCTTCTTGTGGTCTCTCTCCATCACTCAGAGGAGATGCCTTTCATCCTCTCTTTCTCTTCCATCCTTCTCTTTTTGCCTTTCTGGTCATCTTAATTTCCTGTTTTCAACTTTGCATAACCTCTCTTGTCTTCTAGTTTATCCCCTGAAAAAGGAGTGAAGATGTTGGGGTTTTTTTCTGATTCTTTTTTTTTACCACGGTCTTTTCTTTGTACCATCTCTCTGAATTTTCTTTCCTCCTCAGGCTTAATTCACATGTACAGTAAAGTTAATTAGAAGAATAAAAGCACCACTGTTTGCTGTCTTTTACAACTAATGCTATTAAGTCTTTGCTGGCTGATTTCTAAGTACAGTACTTACAAATTGTTTATACAACTAAAAACAATGGATGGTATTTAATATTACTGCAATGATATGGAAATAGTAAGTATCACACAACCAACTATTTAAAGTTAAATAAAATAATATAAAATACAACAGCAATTATTTATCTGACAAGTCTTCCTTCCTCTTTTCCGGTCCCACTTGGACACCCTTCAAATCCCGGTTTCTCTTTTCTCCCAGTCCTCTTCTTGAAGGCAGACCAGAGGTCTTCTGGCCTTCATTTATTCTCTCAACATCTCCTTCCGTTGTTCCAGTCTTCCCAGCAGTGGAGGACTTTTCGCTGCCCTTCCACTGCTCATCCTTTTCTCTCTACCTCTTCCATCTCTTGAAACTAGATCCAAGGTCTACATACCTTAGATGTGTCTTTCTAAACTCTCCCAATCCTTCTAGCAGCTAGACCAGAAATATCATAGCCCTCTACAGTTGCTCCTCTCACCCCCCACTCTTTTCTCCCTCCTCTCAGCAACTCCTACTTTATTTTCCCCTTGAAAAGTTATGTTGTTTCTCCATGGTAGGTGCCAACATCCTGCCTGTAAGCTTGGCTTTCATCTACCAACGCATAGCTACTAAAATAGTTGCTACTCCACTTCAGTCAAAAAGGATGTAGGCAGCGCAAAATACACACCATTTTAAATTTGCTCTGTGTATTGACTCCTGAAATGGCTGAACTATAGTTTAACATCGCCGCCCAAGATCATGATCAGCAACTTTTTTTTTCTCACACCAACAGCATCATTGTCATTTGCTGATGATCATTATGCTGCCATAACAAAACACATCCAATTAATCAACAGCTCACCTCCTGGGAGCCCGTCCCACACTTCCAGCCAGTCGTACTTGCAGTCCCCCTCCCCGCCCGGCAGGGGGTCGTTCTCCAGGTCAAAGGTGAGGAAGGTGATGGTGACATCCATGCTGGGGGGGACAATGATGATGAAGGAGCACTCCAGGTTGTGGGGGTATTTGTCAGGGAAGCCCGGGGACTCAACGAGACCCGAGGGACTTGTAAAGTTACGGGAACAGTCTGAACCTGAGATGAAGACACAGACCCAAAATGTATATGAAGAGACATATTTTTTTATAGAAACATATATTTATAGCAGTGTGTGGTTGGTATAACTCATTAACCATGACCTTGACTGAAAGGTCAATGCTGTTTAGAAAAGGGCATAGATTTTGATTATACATCAAACTAATGATCTTGTTTTTGGCAGACACTCAGAGGTGCTGTTTTTAAATGGGAGTGCTTTCAAACTCACAGCAAACTAAATACCTGCCTCACAATTTCATAAATCCCAGTCTAGCCATCTCTGCTTTCTTGACCAGAAAGAAATATGGCTATTTAAGAGAACAACACATTATGTACTTTAAATGCAGTTAATGGGATTGTTTTGAAACATGTAGAAGATGACAGTTAGGTCTGCTGAAGTAACTGCAGTTTTATTCAGATGTTATTCTTGTGGCTAGAGACCGAAACTCCAGAGTGATGTAACTTCAAAATGCCCATGAAGGGAATAAGACTGAATGATATGCAGCTGAATCAGGTGTACCGGTTCCAAAAAAACATCAGGTTTTTGAAGTGGTAAACGAGTCACATTTTTACAAAGACAAAGATTACGGGCAAGAGAGCAAGCGAAAGAGAGATGTAGAGTCTGCTGACAATGTCATGGTTGGGTGGTCTAGCACTTATGAGAAGCTTTAGATATCATCATACTGTACATGCACACACACACACAAATGCACACAATGATCTGCGGGTAATCTGGGGCTCTTTGTTACTGAATTACTATAATACCCTCTGTATGAATACTCACACACCTTATGGAGTGTATGTGGTCACCATTATACCAGTCCATCCAGCCATGTATGACCAAACATCCAGACAAACACACACACACACGCACGCACTGCCTAAGCCTCTTATGGTAACCCATTTTTCTCCAGACTGTTGGGGTGTCTGCTACTGTGCTTGCGTGCTTGCATGAGCAAATGAAGAGAAAGTGAATAACACATTAAGAGGGAGTGTGTGTAGCTGGCATGAAACATGTACAGTTATGCGTGTTTGCACCAATCTGTCTACATAAGACATGTTTCAGCCCCACTCTTCAGATGAACAGCTGAAATTTGAATCAATACAGCTGCCTACATTGGCTGCTTAATCACTTCAACTTTTTGCTCGTAACTGTGTGTTTTTAGGATTTAAAAGTAGTCTCTTATGATTTTCGTATATATTGGACTTTTAGTGCTGTCAGTAACGAAGTCCCAAACTAAAATGGCTTGTTTCTCTGGGGATCTCCATGGAAACTAGGTTGTTACACCAGGATGAGTACGGACTCAGTCAGTCAGTTAGCAGACTGAAAGCAGCAGACAGAATGTCTGCATATGTATGTGTGAGACACATTTTTAAAGTGACATTCATAATCAAACAAACTTTTGTAGGTGTAACCAGGAGTGTCTTTAATGATTTTCCTTTCTCCACCCTTCCTTTTTTTAACTTTCATTTCAAATCAGCTTAAGTTGATTCTGGCATTCATCTGATCCTGCACAGCAGCAGTTCGGGGACATACAGTATGTGCAATCCATTTGAATGAATTATGGTAACGCTGTTACAGTAGAGAAATTTAAATACACCAAACATACTTTCCCCATTCTAGTTTGTTTCCAAATCTATATTAATGCCAGACTGCAATTTCACTGTAACATCTATTTTTAGTGTTACAGAGTCTGTTTGTCCTGATATATCCCTGTTTTTCTGTCCCACTTCCCAGAGTTTGCTTGCTATCGTAACCTTCTCCCCGATGCAGTGACCTCAGATGTAAGCAAACACACTGTCTCTCACGGGTACCCCTAGCGTCTGCCGCCCCCCCCGCAGAATCAGTTGCTGGATAGTGTATGTCTGCGTGTGTGTGTGTCTGCGTGTGTTCGCGTGTCAGTATGAGTGTGTCGAGTGAACGCCTGACCAGTTCTGTTGCCGGCAGCAATTTTATTCCCTTCTCATTACTTCATGTTCATGAACATCACAAAAACACTGCCCTCCTTTCTCCTGTCCCTTCTCCACGTTCTCTCTCAGTGTGGCGCCCGTCTCCTCCTTGTCCTTCTTTGCTATTGTTCAAGTACATTCAAATCCAAAAGGGAACATATTTGAACTTTGTTTAAAATATTCAAAACTGTGTGTAGAGTGCTCTGTGCTAAATCTATATGCGTGTTTTCTACGACTTCCCTTTTGTCCCGCTAAACTTCTCTCCTCATTCGTTTCTCCTTCTTTTTCTCTCCTGATCTTTCTTCCTCTCTTCTCTCCTGCTGTTCTTTCTTTACCATCTTCCCATGGATCTTTTCATCCTCCGCAGCTCCATCATTCACTTCCCTCCCACTGTTTCATTTCCTATTCTTTTCTCCTCACTCCCCATCTGTTTGAACTGGATAAGTGTGAAAGAAACACGTTTCACTATAGGGTAAGGTTAGAGGAAGTGTGTGTGTGTGTGTGTGTGTTGCTGGGTAGATCTGGCGCTGGTGCTTATGGCTCACTGATCTCTGGGAGACGGGACAAGGTCTGGCAGTTTGTGTGTGTGTGTGTGTGTGTGTGTGAGTGTGTAGGTGCGTAGGTGTGTGTGTGTGTGTGTCTGGTAAGTTGGCAATGCAGACATCTACTTTCATTCAAACTGTCTTTCATGCCAACGGGCTATTAGTCAGATCAAACCCACAATTATTTGCTCCTTCCCTCCACCAATCTCTAATGCACACACTCACACACACACGCACGCACGCACACACACACACATTAGTACACATGCAGAGGGGACTGACATACAGTCTCACTGACAGACAATACACAGCCCCACACACAGCTCAACAGCTCCTGCAAAAACATAGCTTGTTTTTTCCATGGTTAGATTCCACCTCAGCATCATTGAAGGTGGAGACTTGTGTTGCTGAAAACTCCTCTGACATTACATTTCAGCCTCTGTCACTGAATCCCAGCAGGGGTTTCCCTCCATAATAAACTCCCTATTGAACCAAATTACCGCTGACATATGAAATTAAACTGTCACAAGACAACCATCCCTTTAGCCGTACCAATGTAATTTGCTAAAAAGCAACCCAGCATTACTTTGATGATGTAATTCAGGGAAATCTTTTCAGACGTATTCTTCAATTTGACATGTAGATGAAATTGAGGCATCTTGGAACATGTTCAATATGCCATATCTCAAAACGCTGTCTGTTTTAATCTAATATTTACGAACAAACCACTGTAAACAAATCTTTTCTACCAGGAAGAATCATCTGCAAAATCTGTCACATTAATCTTTTATCATAAAATCTCCATCAGTAGTTGGCAGAGTGAAAAATACTGCCTTCAGTACTATGAACTGTAAACACATACATCTTCACTTGAGTGAAGGTGTACCAAAAGGGCACAATATGCTGCAATGCAGACCAAGGAAAGGATTTATTTTCTATTTCAGGTTTGTTGTGCACTTTTTGAAGGTAATCATACCTCTGTTATTTGTTACATTAGCTCGACCACGGAGCATCTTTCTCTCCTCACTGGGTCAGATCTGGATCCACTTTCCTCAATGAAAGCCAGAGGGGGGAGGAGCGAGCAATGTGATTGGTTAGACAGTGTAATAAACTGACTTGATGGGTAGTCGGACAGAGGGGGAGAGGAAGTGCCTAAAGGCGTTTGGTAGAATGTAAACAAAAGCAGTTATTGGAAGGATAGCCACGATAGCTTCCACATTACACTGCCCGGGGAGTGTGCGTGTGTGTACTTGTGTTACTCACAGAAATCTATTCACACAGTTGCACTATGGGACTCACTTCCCATTTAGGTCAAAAGCTGGTCCCCACAAGTAAACTATTAAAAATTTAAGCTTAAGATTAGTTTTTTTGGTTAAGGTCAAGTTAGAAGACAGATGGACTACATCCCAAGGATGAAGGTTAAGGGTTGGGCAGATTAGGTAGGGAATTAATGTAAGTCAATGAAATGTCTTCCTAAGTGACGAAAATAAGTTGTATGAGTCTGTGTGTGTGTGTGTGTGTGTGTGCGTGCGTGCGTGTGTGTGTGCGTGAGGTAACATTTGCGTGCAGACATGCAAGCTGCCCTGCATTTGTGAGTAACCAGCCTGCATCACTGCATTCATATATGTCTCAGCGTGTGTGTCTGGTGAGTTCTGGGTCACAATAACAGCTGGGGGCGCACTGCCTAGACAGTAGATTTTGATTGGTTGCCACATTCTGGTAACTGCTTTCGTATTGGCTGGAATTGTACTAGAATTTCCATAGTAACAGGGCTGTAAACAAAAACAAGTGTATATGATATGTGTATTTCTTTTTGGTTTCAAGCATTTTTTGTGTTTGTCCAAGCCTTTAATTTTAATGTCTGTCACTAGCATGCATGAGTCTTTGTTCATGTGTGTGTATGTGTCAGTGCATTATGTGTCCATGTATTTATACTCAGTGCATATATACTATATGTTCTGCAAATGTTCTGAAGATACATTTAGGTAAATGTTTTCCAAGTAGATATGTTTTTCTGTATATGTATGTTGGCTGTTTCCAGAGTGATAAGACTGTTAATCTTTGAGGGGTCCAGTAATTAGGACACCCAGAAAGTCGAGGACAATCTCCGACAACATGCGCACACACACGCAAACCTTCTCACTACTCCAAAACACTGACCCCAGTAACAGGAAGGGATTGTGCTAAACTCCCACTAAGTGATTATACAATGTGTGCTAGAGTCCCACTAAGTGATTATACAAATCCTTCTTTTACACATTTTTATATGCAAAAATAAACACTGAAATAAAAAAAACTTGCAAATTCCAATCTTCTAAATGATAAAAAATAAAAATAAGTTTAATAGAAAAATAAAACAAAAATCACAAAAAGTACAACTGTGTTTGAAACGTCTTCTGTCTTTGTTTTTCCCTCATATTTTCTGTGCCTAGTAGTGAGAGCATATTCATATATGCCGGCTGTTTGCCTTCCTGGCTTCACAATGGTGACACTAGCGCCCCATAAACATCAAGAAAGCAGAAATGTACGCATTTTCCATTTCAGAATGAAACCTCATCTGCTCAGACTGCATCTTGGCCCTTAAAAACACAAAAACACTCCCTCTATCTAATATTCTTTCTAAATGTAGCACTTGAAGCAGTTCAGCATATTTGATAACGCTGATGTATTTAGACAATTCTTGTAATTTTTGGATTGTATCCAAGTGGTTGAATGCATTATTGTAAGTTGCTTGGGGTAAAAGCATCAGCTAAATACATATAATGTAATATAGTATATTGTTTGCCTGCAAGTACTGGCCGTGGAAATACCGCATAGGAGGGGAGAGACTTTTCGTCCTCCATTTAGGTTGAACAGACCAGAATGTGCCGGGGTAGCACAGATAGATACATATTTAGACAGTTCATCGTGAGGCTATACAGTATGTGTAAGAATGACACACACACACAAAATCTTGTCACCCACACAACCAGACGTTCTGCTGCACCTTCCAGGATAACAAGATCTTGTTAGCAGTATGGCAACAGCTTGAATGTTCCAAATGGCTCCATCATTACTGCCAGGGAAGGCTGGACACAAATATACGCACACACACACACACACACAAAAAGTTACACAGACAGAGACAAACTGGAGGAAGTCCTGTTTATGGTTTTGTATAGTTCATCAATCGAAGCAGCTGTCCTTAAAAACTTGATCTTGGTCATATGTATTTGATGGTAACCTGGGTGAGATTCCTCCTAAACAGACTGTCAAACTAAAACTTACAAGTGACAAAGCCCTTGATCGGCCTCTAGGGGAACATGGGGTGGATGGATGGGTCAACAAAAAGTCAGACTTTTACATGAAAGCCTGCTGTTTGTTTCCTGTTTAATACTGACAGTCACAGGTTTCTTTTTACTATGGCCATGATCGTTCCATAAACTTAATCAAGTATTGTAGAAATAAAATAAAAGTAGTAAAATTTTAAGCTAAACTCTCGTGTTGCCTTAACCTTAATCAAGTATTTATTTAACCCAATCCATTCCCTCAACATGACCAAGTCGTGTTTTTGACTAACCCCAACCAAACCCTGACCACAGCGTTGCAGACTTTATCTAAATGCTAGCCATGAAACTACTGCACTGCGGTGTTTAATGTTTTATGTTTGGTTTGTTATAAAATGTCAAAAATTCAAAATCAATTGATTGATTCACCAGTCTCTCTCTCTCTCTCTAGCTCCCTAGGCTGCTAGGGTGTGAACACTGACACCCTTGTTGTTTCAAAGTCCATCAGGTGGACTGTGTCAAGCACAAAAGACACACACACACACACACACACACACACAGGAGAAATCCCAACAGACTGGTGCCAGCAAGTGAGAAACACCGACAACCGCACGTGTTGTGTTAGTAACCTCAGCCCTCTGTGTGTGTGTGTGTGTGTGTGTGTCTCAGGGGAACAGGGCTCAGGACTCAATTAAGCAGGCATGTGTGGAATGCTTTCAGGGGGAACGGGACAAGATGGCTGTGGGGCCGACACTACGCACCCCTATGTCTCGCTCGCCCTTGATCTCAATTGGTCTCGCTTTGGCTGACCCATGGCAGCGTGAAGGGGAGCCATGTCAGGCACACACACATATACACAAACACAAAGTGCCATGAAGGGGAGAAATGTCTCGCCTGGACAGTCTAAAGGGCTCTCAAGGGTCCTCTGCAGTGTCTTTCGTCTCTTTTTCTCTGTCTCCCATGACACCAGGGAGATAAACGAGGCTTGGTCACCTAATGAAGCATATCGAGTCCTCTATGAGTATCTTGTAATACAGTTACTAATGGCCTGTTTGTAAAGGTGCAATCCTTCTAAAATCCTGTTCACTTTTGTTAAGTCTGTCCAAGTGTCAGGGTAATTTACAATTCTCAAAATGTCTACTTTGCGTATTCTGTTACTAATAGAATACGTATATCACGTATATATTACATGTTACAAGTATTTATTATCTTAGGAGACTTGTGATTTGGCTAAAAAGTGATTTTTTTTTTTTAAACTACGCCTGGCTGTGTGTGTTTCTCACTTTGTCTGACTACCTGTGTCAAAAGTATCTTATTTTCTGGGGGCAAGTGTGAGTGAAAGACATTAAAAACAACTTTTCCCTTTACCGGTTTTGAAGATTTCGTAGCGCAGAGAGAAGCCCGCCCCCTGGTGGGCGTAGTCCGATACGAACTTGATGTGGAGCGAGGGCCCTGACGATATGATTGGTGCAGGGGCGATGTTGCTGCAGTGCTTCCCCAGTAGGTCAGCCGTCTCTGAGGGCCCATCATGGATCTCTACATAGTCATACCTGTAGAGGACAAACAAATATTAGTAAAAAACCTTCTCTCCTACATACATGTTTATTTCAATTAACTTCATTAAACAACAATTCTGCACTATTGTATTACTATCCAGAGATTTGCAGCTTGTGGAAACTCTGGCACTGAGTGTGAAATGCAATACCACAGGAACATTATCAACCTACAGTACTAAATATCTACTGCTATACATGCTTGACGTACAGACATTTAATTAATGTACTGATGAGGTGTTTTGTGGATGTGGAGAGGAGACTTTTTAATTTGAGAAAAGGACATTGTTAAACCCTTTAAATAATTAATCTGGTATTATTAGTCTTTTTTTTTCTTTAGTAGTTGTTTCTTTCATCTGGCAGGCATCACATTGGATTTGGGCACGAAACGGAAGTAATGAGCAAATTGTTTGCATCTATCAGTGGCTAGACAGACTTCTGAAAGCACAGTTACTATCAGCAAAAGCATGGGTGTCATTAGAATTCAAATGAATGCAGCAGAAGACATTGGCAGTTCCCAGATGGTGGAGGAGTAACAGAACCACCTGCATGAGGCAAAATAGGAAGAGAAACCTTTTTAAAATTCTATAACTGCACTGTAATCGAGTGATTACATACTCCAGTTGCTAAGGGCTTCATGGTCTACAGAACACTATTTTATGGATTATAACTATATTATAATACAAACAAAAGGAGAGTGTGTATGTAAAGATGATGTGCTTCCCTTCAGCTTGCATTAGGAAACAGTGAGTCAACCACATTTTAGAAATTCAAAAGAAAAAAACTGATTCCCAATCTCATACGATTAATTTAATGGATTTTCTACTTCTTAAACTTAATTACATATGAATTCATTTAGCTGACGCTTTTATCCAAAGCGACTTACAGTTGCTATATATATCAGAGGTCGCACGCCTCTGGAGCAACAAGGGGTTAAGTGTCTTGCTCAGGGACACAATGGTCTCTCACACCAAAGGCAAGCGTCTTACCCACTGCACCATCACCACTTTGTCTTTTTACAAGTTTGATGATAATTAAGCAGTACTTTCAAAAGAAATGACAACCAAACAAGTCTTGCATTGTACAAGAAATTATTAATACAAGAAATTATTAATACAAGAAAACGTACCTCACACCTCTTTAATGTTACACTAGGGTCAAAGTGAGGGTGTGCGAGAGTGTGCAAGGCTTTTTGAACTATAGATGAACCCTGCAGCCTTTGATGCTAGAAAAGGATTAATGTGGAACACATGACTGTAGTTTACATCTTTGCCCTGGTCTAATTCAATAATGTTTGAACCGCCTGAGGGCCTTCAGTGCACAGAGAAATTCACATTTTCCATTTTTTAGAGTGGATTTAGGTCGCTTCTGCATTTCCTGGTTTTTCATTCCTTAGAAATATCTCACACTTTTTGCAGACTGTTATAGGGGGACTGGGCTGAATTATAACTGATAATGTTGATGTTTGATTAGCGAGGATTCAGAACACAAACACTAAACACAATGGGAATATCAACAATTGACATTAAAGTGACATTTGTCCTGTTGTATCATGTCACAAGTGCTACTACTTCTTTATAGGTATTTGTATTTTTCTTACATACAAAAAGCTATGAATGATGCACATTAAAATCTCAGTATAACTAAAAATAAACATTTATATAGCTTTTGCTGAGCATTACATATCAAAAAGCAGCCTGGGACTTTTTTTCTATCCATAAAGGGGAAGTTCTGACTTGAAAACTATTTTTATTCCTATTTCTTTCATGTTTTCTGACCACAAGTGTTAGGACCTGTCTCCAGACCCACAGCAGGAGTGTTGCCTCTGTGTCTGGATACCAAAGACACACCTGCCTGCCTCTAAAATAGCTTCCTGGAAAGAAATTCCTTGAGTAACTTGCCATGAAAGAAGACATGAAGCTGAATTCTGAGTTAAGTGAATTAAATTTCAAATAGGGCTTTTCTTACAGCCTAACTTTCACATCTTCGCCCATCCTATCAATCAATCCTGGCCCCACTGCAGTTAATTGCTCCAATCTTGAGCTTTCTACATCTCTCTAGAGTAATCAAATGAACACTCCTCAACCCCAAAAGTACTGAAAGTATCTTGTCTTTTTCATACAGTTTAAGATGTATGCTTTACGTAAGTTAAGCAGGTTTCATGTGCTATGGGATGGTAAAAGTACCACACATGGTGTTTTGTTACTACTGTACAGACACATTAAAGATGGATATAAAAGGAGTGTTAATCTTTTCACTATTTGTAAGCATGTATTCACCATTTTGTGGACTATCATTCCTGAACTTGGCTGCCAAAACACACACACACACATACATACATTGGCTTTGTCACTTGGGTTGACGTTGTTACACACATACACTCAAATAGACACAAAACTTACACATACACAGACCTGGTTTCACATGACTCGACATGAGCTGACAAGATCAAATAAGAGGTGGATATTTTATGCTGTGTTACACTGTAATCCTAGCTGTCAGAGTGACAGAGTTATCAAATGTGTGTGTGTGTGTGTGCATGTGTGTGTGTGTTCGTCTTATTACCTCTTGTCTTGTAACAATAAGACATGAAGAAACCACAGACAATAGGAGTGGATTCAACACTACAGAACCCTCATAGCATTATAAAAGGCTGCCAAGTGTACAGATGTACTCTATTGTGCATAGACACAGTGTAATGTGGGTACCGGAACACAAAAGACTGTGGGCTTTTTACTCTGTCTCTCACTGTGTATGTGCATGCAATGCACATGCAGTTCACGTCTTCATGCGGGTGTGTGTGTTTTCTGTGTTTTTCTGACAGGTGAGCAAGCTCCTGACATAATGAGAGTCAAACACCTCCCACTCTCCCATCATGCTTTGTGTCTACTTTGCGCAGAACTAACACCACAGTTATGACGCAAGCTGTCACTGCACTGTTAGCATGTTTGTGTGCATCTGTGTGTGTGTGTCACAGTTCCTGTCATATTTTCCCAAGAGAACACCTCATCCCAGAGAGAGTTTCCTCTTCCTTTTTTCTGAAATGACAACTTTGTTTAGGGGCTGGTGGTATCCACAGAAGATCTCTTTTTCTTTCTGACTCTTTCCCTTTTCATTTTGAACTGTTTCTCTGTCTAACCTTTTTCTTTAATTTGAAATCATTCTTAGTCATCTTCCTTTTCTCTCTCTATCCCCTCTTCCTCTCTAGCTTTCTTTAGCGTGCAGTCAGGCACATAACCCGTGGCCAAGAGCCAATGCGTGGGCGAGGCAGAGGAGGCACGTAGGGGGGAAAGAGAGGATATTAGAATTTGTGAATATTTGAATTTAAAACTACCGTTTATTAACAACAGGAAAATGGCTAAATCTCTTCTTCTTTGTCCTGTTTCTGTTGGCAACAAATGCAATTGCTAGTGAAGAGTGAGACAGCCCCAGTGATTCTGTTGAGTCTCAGCTGGTTTAATCCATTTTGACCCCTCCTTCTTTCAATCATCAGCATTACTGTATTTTAACAGAGCCAAAATCACAGTTTAGCTGTTCTCATTTACATAGTTTCTGTTGTCAGATAGTTGAATGAGTATAAAAACCTGATTTGATCACGGCTACCTGTTAACCAGCCATACAGAAACCCCTGTGCTGGTGCTATAAAGTCACTATTTCATGATCACAAAATACTATGTGTTTGGCTATGTTCACATTAAAAGTAAATGATCATAGAAAGGGTTAGAGCCAACAGAAAGTTAACTGCTTAACTACTACTGTGGAGGCTGTTTCGAAAAGCTCTGCTGTTTGCAGGTGTGTGGATGAACCACCAAAACAAAAGTGTGGACGTGGTCAGAGAGAGAACATGACACTGCATTTACACTGCCAACTCCTCCCCTCAGACTGACAGAGACAGGTGTCCCTCCATCCCTTCCTCCCTCCCTGCAGCTCTGTGCCTTTAGGAGAAGGCAGAAAGACATCCACTGCTACTTCTAAGTCAGCACACACACATACGCAAGAGACCTGCGCAAACACACAAACTCTCGGTCTCACACATAGTCACGCTGGCAAACACACAGAGCCTGTGGCCATGCATTCAGATGGATCTATAGACGGGTTTGAGGTTTCCTTCAATCTGTCTCTGTGTAGGAGGTGCACAGCTTCTAACAAACTGTTTAATCCCATCATCTCTCTCTCTTTCCTCTCCCCCAATATATTTCATGGCAGCCAATCAGTGATTTTCTGAAACTTGCCATAGGGAATGACAAGAAGTCTGAATTTGTTTCTCCCCCACTTTTCCCTGAAATTCTCTTGTTAACCAGCGCTGTAAGCGATGTTTTTTTTCCTTGCGTACATGAGGGAAATGATCAAAAAAACAAACGTAGGTTCCAAAACATGAAACATGGGAGGTTACAGCTGTAAAGATGAGGCATTCGTGATGGATTGTAAGCACAGATTGGGTTGTGGAAGTCAACGTAACTAACAGAGATCTGACATTAGGGGAGAGTCTTGTGTGCCTGTGCTTCTGTGTGTGTTTTGGGGGTTGGGGTGTTTCACGAGCGAGAAAGCTCTCCAAAGTCTTTCTGACGTGAACCAAGGAAAATGTTTGGATACAGATGCACTCCCGCCCCTCCTCCCTCACACCCCTCCTCTCTGCCTTGGCCTTAATTGCCTTTCACAAGTTCTCTCTCTCCCTCTTTAGTCGGGGAGTTGTCTTTTTACACCTGCACGTTTCTTTCAAACATCGGGGGTGCCGATGCGGTGGCACACACACTAAAAAGAGCTGAAAGCAGGCCAGACTTGCGTGACAGTTGTCAAGATGTTGAGAAAAGACAATGAAATTCAATTAAAACATTACCATGTCATACAATATTAAAAAATATATATCTTGTATGTGTTTTGTATGTTTGTGTGATAAATACAGAGAAAGTCTGGACGCAGTTTGAAAAAAAACTTTGATAATCAGCTCCAGAAGGCACTTTCTGGAATTTGAAATAAATATTTTTACAAATTATTAC